TTTATTTTATGTGTATGTGTGTATTGCCTGCATGTATGTAAGTGCACCCATGTTGTACAATGACCTCGGAGAACAGAAGAAGCTGTCAGATCCCTTGGAACTGGAGTTACAGACAGTTGTTAGCTGCCATGTGGGTGCTGGGATTCGAACCTGGGTCTTCTGTAAGAACAGTCAGTGTTCTTAACCACTGAGCCAGCTCTCCAGTCCCTCATTCTCAAGTTAGAAATGAATAAGCACTAAATATATATCCCAAAATGCAGTGTTTTTGATCCCAATATACACCACTCTAAGGCAAGTCTCTTACTCATTAACCTGTCCTGTCTTTCATTTGTACTGGGAATGTAGGCAAAGAGGGATCCAAGGGAAGACAGACTTTTTTTTTGTTTAGCCTTGAGACATGGCCTCTTGATTTATACCCCAGGGTTGTTTTGAACTCCTGGTCTTCCTAATCCTCCTCCCTCGACCTCCCAGGTACTGGGATCATAGACATGTATCCCTATGACCAATACCACAGTGAAGACTTAACAAGAAGAAATGGAAGACAGGCGTGGGCTTGAGGTTTACAGAGGGGATAGGGCTTAGGATGGGACTGGAAACAAACAATAGCGGGTTCGGCCCCACTCTGAGATCTCTGCCATCTAGTTAACGGGGAGCATGAACGTGATGTTCAGTGTCACCTGTTGGTTGAGCATCAGCGATCATTTGAAAGTAATACAACTAGATATGAGCCCTGACTCTGATGGCCAACGGGCAAGTGTCCTTCGACAATGTACTACCCTTTGTGTACCATCATTTCTTCCTCTATGTTATGGGGACAGGACCATCTACTTTTCTTCAATTTTATTTACTTTTTTAATTATTTTATGTATGTGAGTGTATTGCGTGCATGTATGTAAGTGTACCGATGTCCTACAATGCCTGTCGAGGTTACAGAATGTTGTTAGCTGCCATGTGAGTGCTGGGAACTGAACCCACATCTTCAAGAGCAGCCAGTGCTCTTAACCACTGAACTATCACTCCAGCCCAGGGCTATCTACTTTATGGGGCTGTGATGAGGGTGAAACTAAGTAAGAGCAAGTGGGAAATCACCAAACCTGTTTCCTGGGACACCACATGTACTCTATCCACATTACTTTTGCCTATGTCTTTCAAAGATACCCCCTCTTACTAATGAGACAGGTCTAAGGCCATCTACTTCCTCTATCACAGAGTGGGCAGGAGGCTGAAATCCAACCCCATTATGGCAGGGGAGTTCCTGGCAACAAATATCCCAGGGCACTGGGCAGATCTTGTTAAAGGGAAAATGGGAAGAACTGAATCCATCTTTAGGAGTTGCCAAGGAAGTGAGGAACCACCCATCCCCTGCAGAAAGGAACAGTTAATTGAGTCATTAATAATACTTAGCATTGTCCCAGTGCTTTCCCAAGCTAATTAATTCTACTCCAAATCCTGGAAAACAAATGACTGAGTATGTTAGAGTCAGACCTCTGTTTCTGAACTGGAAAGTAGGGAAGCCTGTTCTCCACAATGTTTGGAGGGAAAGAAAAGCTGGGTGATTTCTTCCTAGAACTACGTCATCCTGAACAAGGAGAGGTCATTAAGCCCTGGTGGGTACTTACCCCTTACCAAGTCCATCTTCAAAAAAGTACAGCTATTCAAGGAAGCAAAAACACAAGAAAGTACCACTTTGGCATCATTGTTCTAACAGTGTGTCCTAAAAGACATTACCCAGAAGTAGTGGGTTTGTTAAGTGTTTGTTAAGCTGGCGCCATGGCCTGGCTATAACATTTTATCTATCTGTTTCCCTGTAACATATGACCAAGTCTTCCTGCCAAGCTATGAGCCATAGTTAGCTGCTAAAATCTGTAGCCCTCTGACTCACTGTATTTTGCCAATCAAACCTGGGAATGACAACAAAACACCCCAGTTATTTGTCTACCGAGAAGGGCAGAGTCAAGTATGAGGAGCAGAAAACGCAGACAGAGTCCCAGCACAGGGGCCAGTACTCGGTGCACAACAAACAGACATGGAAAAACTGTTTCTTTTGGAGTTATTTGGAAATTAAAAAAAGAAATGGACAGGTTGGTGGAGTAAAACTGTTTTCTGGGCATAATGTAACTATTTTGTTTTGAAATCAATAATTTACATATAAAAGACTCTCAAAAGAGATTATACCACATGACCAGTACTATTAACATTCTCTTGTAGAAGAGCACACATCACATTCTCACTCAAGATTCTAACTACCACTTTCCTGACCATCCTGTACATGGGAAGTGCTAGGGAATGGAAGGTTGATGAGGGTGGGGAGAGGACTCAAGGGATGTCACGTTCATGAGTAGCCATGAACACCACGATGGAGATTCTTAGTGATACAGCTGTCTTTGGGTCACCCATGTTCCATAAGCAACCCTTCACCCATGCCTCTGATTATTGATTCAGTAAGCTGGTCTTGGATGGAGACATTTCTATTGGTGTCCTATCTAGAAAAAAATAGGCATTTCTAATGCATCTCCTCCAGGAAACAACATAGCAGTTGTTCAAGTACAAATCAGATGTACAGATGCTTTACAGTCAAGAAAAACAAAGCATATTCAGAACTTGACCACAGTTCCCTGAGGATCTGGGGAATTTCAATTTGACAGTGACACACGTCATTACAAAGGGAAGATAGTGGCAAGACACATGAATGTATAGATGTGTGTAATAGACATGAGAACCCAGAGGAAGGAATGAAAATGAAAGGAAATGAAAGAGCGTTTTTTCCCCTGCAGGTTAGTGGTTGACCTGAACTGGCTCACAGATGATGTGCTACCTAGATGAGGTGAGGCCAATGTAAGAATTCTTCATGCACATTCTTGTAAGAGCCTCTTCCCTCATAAGGTTGTGATTCAATTGATCTGAACTGGAGCCTTAGAAGCTAAACCTTAACAATTATTCCAAATATTTGTGGGACATCCATAGGTCTCATAGGTTGTCAGAAGCATGGGTGAAGGGCCTCAGTGCACCTGAGTCTACACTATTCTATATTCGCAAAATAATCTTAGGAGCTCCAGCACCTGCCAGGAGGTGGGCACAACACTGAAAAGGAGATTTTCACTACATCCTAATGTCCTCACCTTCTCCAATACAGAACATATCCTG